GGGGCAAAAGGCTCGGCAGAGACCCTCTCTAGTTTCTTGGGCTGTAAAGGAGATGTGGGAGAACTGTACTTTTAGACTTGTAAGATTCTGTTAATGTCATTAGAATAAAGTAGAATTAGCTCATCTGGTTGTGTTTCCTGTCTGGTCTACCTGGGAAGGCTGACACACACAGTTCTGGGCTGACTGTAGGCCCTCTCCCTTGATGGAGTGTTCCTTTTTGTTTTCTGACTTTCAGTAAGCTTTTTGTGTAGTCACATTGGTTACTTTGGCTATCCCAGATTTTCCTGATTGGAATTGTTTGCAATCCCCTTTTATCTCCCACCCAATTGGAGTTCCTTTCCTGTTAGCTTCTCCTGCCATGGAATCCTGTTTACCATTGTTCTGAGTTTATTGACATGCACTTTTTTGAGTTTCACGGTAGCCATTTGACTACACTTAATTTATTTTCCTTTAAAATCAAAAATTCTGGTATGATCTGGTCACTTTTCTTCAGTGTTCCTGCTGCTTCCACTTGCACAACTGGATCTTGCTGCTGATTAGTATCAAACACAGTGAATCCCCTTGTGCCTTCCTGCACTCTCTGAAGAAATTTCCTGGAATGGCCAGACTTGGCAGAGCTTGTCTGGTGAGAGATTATGGGGTAATTGAAATTTCTCATCACTGTGAGTTCACCCTCCTTGAAAAAGTGGCAAGATATTGTGCTTTTATTTATTTATTTGGTAAACTGGGTAGAAAAGTTAAAAGAGAACAGAACCCAAATAATAAAAAAACATAACGCAAAGCATTAAAACCATTAAAAGCAGTAAAACCGTTAAAACTGTGAAGCAAAGTTTGCGGAAGAGTGCAGTCAGTTTCTGTAATGGTATGTTGGAATGACCTTGGGAGACAAGGAAGAGCTATAGCCAGGGGAATGGTCGAAGAAGAGGCAGCTGAGCGCGCAGCAGGAATGTGGGTGTCGCAGAAGGGACCCTCCCTAGTTTCTTGGGGTGTAAAGGAGACGGGGGAGATTTGTGCTTTCAGACTTGCAAGATTCTGTTTGTAACCTTACAATAAAGTAGAAAGGTTATCTGGGCATGCTTCCTATCTGGACTACTTTGCAAGGCTGACAGTTTCCCTAATAATATAACCACCTTACAGGTTCCATACCCAGGTTACTGGATCCCCAGGCCAGATTGCAAAGCAATGCTTTTAGACCCTTCTGGAAGGCCAGCAAGGTTGGGGCCAGTCTGACCTCAGGGGGAGTGATGTGCCAGTGGGCAGGTGCCACAGCAGAAAAGGCTTTCCTCCTGGGTCGCAGCAGATGACATTCCTTCGTGGACAGGACCCGCAAGATGCCCTTCCTGCCAGACCTGATAGGATGGGTAGATGTGATTGGGAAGAGGCAGTCCCTCAAATGACCCGGCTCCATGCCCTCTAGGGTTTTATACATCATTACCAGCACCTTGAATTGAATCCGGAAGGAAAATGGCAGCCAGTGTCACTCATGGAGCAAAGGTGTAACATGCTGATCTAGGTGTGCATGTAACTGCCTGTACCGCCACATTTTGCAGCAGCTGAAGCTTCTGGATGGTGTTCCAGGGCAGCCCCCTGTGGAGCGTGTTACAGTAATCCATGAGGGAGCAACCCATAGCCTGTATCTTTCTGGTTGGACAGGTGATAGTGAACAGCAACTGCAGTATGGCTTGTAACTCAGGTGCTCAGTGCTGCACCAAGGATAACAACTCCTCCCCCCATTCTGTTGCTTTTTTTATATCCTTCAGTTGCTCCATTCCAGTCATTAGTGTCCTCCCACCAGATTTTTGTTATGTTTAATAAATCATAGGTGCTTTCCTGCTTTAAAAGCTCAGGCTCCTCTTGCTTAGTTCCTATAGTCTCGGCATCAGTATACAGATAATAAAGACAGTGAGCTTTATGAGTCAGCGTTACTTCTGATTTTTCATTTTATTTATTTTTGATGGGTTGTATTGATATCCTGCCGCAGTCAGTTTGACTCTTGGCAGCTGTGCTCAGCAACGTGTAAGAGCATTTCTCTTTCATCATGGTTCACACACCTGGGCGAAGCACCTTCAGAGAGCCCTTGAGGGAACCTTCTGGACACGCAGGATGGTTTTACCAGTCCCCATTGGCACAATTCCTCTTGAACCCTGGCAGCATTAGCACATTCATGTTTAGTTCATTGTAAAAAGCAGCCCACCCCAGGTCAGGCTGTAGTGCAGTAGTATCATGATGGAATTTTTCTTCTGTGCTCATTTTGATGATTATATCTGGAGGTTTTGCAGAATGAGAAATGGATCGATAGACATTAGAATATTAAGATTACATAATAAAGTGGTTATGAAAGAAGCAAACAGAACTTTCTTGGTAAGGAATAATTAAATTGAATCAGCACACCAGCATCCAGGAGGAATCTGTGGTAGCTGAAGAAGACTCCATGCCCAGGCTTTTGTCTAGCAGGCAGCCGCTTCTAGTGCGGCCTCTGCATGGTGGTGGGAGTGTGTGTCCAAAACCTCCCTTGTGGGTTGCAGGAGAGAACAGCCTTGGCAAGCAGTTGGCAACTCACTTGAACCAAAAGCAAGATTCTCCTTGGGTTTCTTTTAATGGAGAAAATAGGATAAAGTTACAGAAATCTCAGCAACTGAATAGCTTCCACCTTTAGAACTACATTTCTGCCTCTGTTGAAGATAGTGGAATCTTTTTCACAAACAATGCCAATCAGGAAAATCTGGGATAGCCAAAGTAACCAATGTGACTACACAAAAAGCTTACTGAAAGTCAGAAAACAAAAAGGAACACACCATCAAGGGAGAGGGCCTACAGTCAGCCCAGAACTGTGTGTGTCAGCCTTCCCAGGTAGACCAGACAGGAAACACAACCAGATGAGCTAATTCTACTTTATTCTAATGCTACATTAACAGAATCTTACAAGTCTAAAAGTACAGTTCTCCCACATCTCCTTTACAGCCCGAAAAACTAGAGAGACTGAAGATGAGCACATGCATACATTTGACCACTGGCACAATTATTGTCTGCAAATGGGCACACCGGAATCTGGGCATCCCTCTGTGTGGAAAGAATGCTTTGCAACGGAGTGAGAGTGAGGATGCTGATCGTTGCTGTCGCAGCTTGACCCTCCATCCCACTTTAAACAGAGAATTGTAAACACACTGATGATCAGCATCCTTGAAAATGATTGCAGTTTATAGAGACGTACAATTTGTGAATCAAAGGCCATTTTTTGATGTAACAAAGGCTACAGTTCCAGGAAGATGTATGTCATAGAGCATATACAGGGAAATAGTTTAGCAATTAAGGCTGTTGTGGCTCGATACATTGATGTTGGCATTAAACAGGGAAGCAAAGGCAGAGATACCCAGGGACCTAGGTGTGAGCATATAGGAGGCCTACAGGACAATAAGTTGTCTCCAGAGCATTTGTGAGGTGAGACAGGGAGGAGGAGCTTGTCCTTTGAAAGTGGTAGATGAGGTTTTCTCTGTAGGACTTGAGCTTTTGTGGGGTCTCTGGCTGGTGTCTTCTAGAATGACTGATACATCCTGCCTCAAGAGGAGTCTTTGGGAAGATGCAGCCCAGAACTAATGGAGCTAATCCCTTGCCCTACGGTCCTGACCAGTGACCCAGCTGGTCTTTCACAATATCCTGGTCATGGCATTGGCCATGCTAGGCTGGACTATGGCCTAGCATCCCTCATTCCTATAACGGCTCTTATGTAGCCATTAGAAAATCTGCTGGACCTTTAGGACTTTTTGGGTTTAATACTTCCTTCCCTACCTTGTTTTTGTCATAGAAAAGAGGAATACTGGCTTATCCAATGTATAATGTTGATATTTATTTGATTTGTATAGCCTTCCATCTCATCTAAGCGACTCTGAGCGGCTCATAGTAGGTAAAAACAATACAAAAGCAAGTCAAAAACTAATATGCAAATGTATAAAAACTGTCTATAATCAGTTTAAAAAACCTAAAATCATGATCAGTGGCAGAATTCATTCTGCCTTCTCTCAATACAACCATTGTAAGAGCAGCCCACCATTGCTGATTCCCCAGGTGTGGTGGCAAAGCAATGTCTTCAGGGCCTCCCTAAAGACCAAGGGGGCTTGGGGGGTATGTTAGGAATCCCTTGAGGCGTGTTGTCTCCCCAACACAGTTCCAGTTTAAATATATGCTGTACGATCAGGAGGACCAATAAAATAATTAAGGTGAAGGCTTAAATGAGGTCTGTTAATCAAGACCTGGATAATGGGACTCAGTCATAGCAGGAATTTGGAGACTTGCTGGGCAAAAGCCCAACTTCTAAGCCAACGTGGTTCCTTGTCAAGTGATTCTCAGGGAAGCTCTGTTTTTTGACAGAGATAAGTTCATTTTCTGTCTTCCCTCCTCCAGGTGAACAACGTTTGTTTAGAAGAAGTTACCCATGAAGAAGCAGTGGCTGCCTTAAAGAACACATCTGATTTTGTTTATCTGAAACTTGCAAAGCCCACCAGCATGTTCATAAATGATACCTATGCGCCTCCTGAGATCACTAGCTGTAAGTTTGAATTTGGGACGACTGTTTTGCATCAGGAAATTAACTAAAATGCAAAGTATCTTCTCTCTCTTTTCTCTCCTTTTCCTTTGTTGACATTTTGTTACATGCAACAACACTTTTCTTGTAAGAATAAATAGCATTTTTATTTCTCTTGTCCCAGTGTCTAGCAAAAACAATACATAATGTTGCTAAGATACAGTAACAGAAAAGGAAGAGAAAAAAGAATTTGTATGGGTATCTTAAGCCGAAGGATGGCAAACAGATGGAGAATTATTCTAATCACTTTTGCAAACTCACAGGAAAATCTGCACATGCAGAAAGAGGGGAGCTTGGCTGGATAGAAGAGTGCGAGAGTTCCAACACTTTAATCCTAAAATGGCATAGCTTCTTTTAACCCAGAAGTTTTCTGAGAGATTTAAATAATTTGTTTAACATAATTCATAACCTTCCCCATTCTTAAGGGACTCTGAGTGATTAACAACAAATAATAAAAATTACAGAACAAAATATGCAAGAATAAAATATGCCATCAGTGGCCACATTCAGCTTAGGCCAAATGCATGGAAAGAAGACATTTAACTTGCTTGCAAAATGCATGTGGGATTAGGGCCATGGGTATCTCTGCAAGGAGAGAGTTCCAAAGGGGGCTCCAGTAGGCCCTCACTAGATATCTGGATGGGCAAGCAGATCCAGTTCTGGCGAGATGTTCCTGCTATGTGCCTGTGCTGCATAGGTCTTTAAAGATAATCAACTTTGAATTGGGTCTGGATGTCTACTGGTAACCAGTACAGTACAGGTAGTCCTTGCTTACTGACTGCTCATTCAGCGACGGTTCAAAGATATGACAGTGCTGAATAAGGAGATTTATGACCAGTCCTTGAAGATGCAGCCGTCACAGAACCCCCACAGTCATGTGATAGTGATTCAGGTGCTTTGTAATCGGTGTGCATTTACGATAGTCAGTGTCTTGACTATTTGCAACCTTCACAGTCAGCTTCCAACAACCAAAGTCAATGGGGAAGCTGGCAGGAAATCACAAGTCACGCTCATGTGACGTTGCACTTAAAAATTGCTGATAATTCACTGCCGTCATAGGTTGGGTGCTGTCACATGATTTTTCAGTTTACGACTGCGTCTCCTAGCAGCAGAGTTGCCAGTTCCAATTGCAGTTGGTAAGTGAGGACTACCTGTAACTTTAAAATTGGTGTTATTCTCTACTGATGGAGTTGTAACAGCTGTAATTTCTGGGTCACTTCCAAAGGCAGTCCCATGTAGAGTTCCTAACATTAATCCAACTGAGTGGTGATCAAGGCATGAATTATCATTGCCAGGACATCATGGGTTGACCCTACCAGTTAGGGTAGCAATTAGCACACCAGCCAGAGCTACCCACGCTTTCCACCTGCTGCTTGAGCAGGAGCCAAAAACCCGGGAGATCTAAACTCACAACCACTCCTTTGTGGGGAGCATGGCCCCATCTGGAGTGACTACTGGAACTGATAATGTGTTACCTGGTTGTTTAAAGTCAAACAATAGTTCTGTCTTGGTAAATTTAATCTGAGTTTAATTAACCTCATTCGGATCCTTACAGCCTCCAGACACCAGTTCAAAATGTCCATGGCCTCTCCAGCTCAGCCAGGGTGATGTGTAGTTGGGAGACATCAGCATATTGATGACACCTCACCCTCATCCAACAGATGACCTCTCCTAGTGGATTTTATGTAGCTATTAAATAACATAAGGGAGAGCACTAAGACTGTGGGACTTAACATTGGGGTACTAATGGCTCAAATGCTTCTCCCCCATGACCACTAACTGGGACTATCCACTCAGTTGGAGTGGAACTGAGGTGCATGATTCGCAAATCTTGCAGGTGGTCCAGAAGGATATCATGCTTGATGGTATTGAACGCTGCCACAAGACCTTTTCTCCTTTGTTGACAGAGTAACTATTCTAATGAACAAGGAGAATGCTGTGGATATAATCTACCTTGATTTCAGCAAAGCTTTTGATAAAGTTCCACGTTACATTCTCATTAACAAGCTGTTAGTGTGATTTGCTTGTACTGCATTAAGAGGGGTACACAGCTGGCTGGCTAACCATGCTCAGAGAGTTAGCTTTGAAGGCTCTACATCAAGTTGGAGAGCAGTAACCAGTGGCATTCCCCAGGGATCTATCTTGGGGCCAGTATTATTCAACATTTTTAGTAATGACCTGGATGATGTGATGGATGGGCTTGTAAAATTGTGAAAAGGTCTGGCGAACATCCAGGGTAGCAGAATGAGATTGCAGTCTAATCTGGATAGGTTGGAAGACTGAGTTAAGGAAAACAAAATGTCCTTTAAGAGAGAGAAATTTAATGTACTACCTTTAGGACACCCATACAAGATGGGGACTCATAGCTTGGGTACACTGCATCCAAGAAGGATTTGGGTGTGGTCACTGACAACAAGCTGAACATAAATCAGTAGTGTGAGACAGCTGCTGGAAGGGCTAACACAGTTCTGGGCTGCATCTTGTATGAAAGAAACAAAGTAATGGTTGCTCTCTTCTCAACACTGGTAAGACCACCTTTTGAGTCCTGGGTACACTCCTGGGCACCACATTTCTGGAAGGCTATTGACTGGTTAGAACAAATTAAGAGGAGGATGACAAAAATGATGTGGGGACTTGAAGGCACGCTAAAGGACTGTGGTATATTCAGTCGGGAGAAATGACTTGATAGCTGTGTTCAAGTACATAAAGAGAAGCTACAGGGAAGATGGTCAAGAACTATTTTCCTTGGCTATAGAACCCAGGCCAGAAATAATGGATACATGTCGTAACTACCTAGATTTCATTTAAATGCAAAGAAAACTTACCTCTCGGTGATCTGTCCAGTAATAAAACAGTTTAACTAGGAGGTTATGGATTCTCCAGGTCTGGTGGCTTTTAAGAAGCCAGATAGACATGGTTCAATTGGTTTTACTTGACATTGTAGAGAGTTGGACTAAATTATTCCTGTGATCCCTTCCAACTCTATAATTCTACCTAATAGGGCCAAGAGAATTGCATTCCACCAATCACTCTTGGATGATTCTCTGTTGTCGAGCCCAGCATTTCCTGACCTTGGCAACTCCCGGATGCATGCACTTCATAACTTCAGAATTTCGTATCCAGCATGGCCATTGCTGGGAAGGCTTGTTGTAGCTTCTCCAGCTGTTCTAAAATATCTTTTTGGGACCTCCTGGTTTAGTGTTTCTGATTCCCTCCTGAGAAAGTCAACTCAGGCCCTGATCTTCCTCCTATATCTTCTGCAGTAAAGACAGATGTAAAGAACTCATTCAGTGTCCTTTTGCAGGTTTCTCCCCCTCCCTCCCCATTCTCTCTCTCTCACACACACACAAGGTGATAATAAGCAATTTACTCAAGGCTGAGCAGACAAGCAAAGGAACATAAATCAGAGTCTCTGAAGATGAGGCTTGCCTGAAGAATAGTCAAGATTCAGGCCAGAGGCCAGAGAGCCAAGCCAGGTTCATCAGCCAGTCCAAGGGTCAGACTCTCAAGTTTCCTCTGTGGGCAGAAGACACAGGAATGACACACCAAATCAAAAAGTTGTTTCCAACAAGGAAACATGCGTCAGGGCTGCCTCTTAAATCAGGCTGCAGCCAGCTGTCTTTAATTATGGCAGGCGTGCCCTTGCTTGGCAAGGAGCCTCACTGAACGTCCCTGCCCTGCCCTGCCCTGCCCTGCCCTGCCCTCTACTTGCTGCGTCCAAGGGCTCGGAGGCCATACCTCATCATCTGGCAGCTCCAGCTGTTCCGATGGGGCCTGTGTTGGGTCAACTTCAGGTGATTCCTGGCTCCGTGTCTCCTGAGATGACATTCCACTGGGTCAGCTGGAGCAGCTTCTTTGGACCCAGAGCCATCTGTGTGCTGGGCCATGACATTCAGCTTCTCTGTGGTCTCCGTGTCCTCACTGAGCAAGCCTTTCCCTCTGTTGTCATCTAACGGCCCAACTACTTCCCCCTTTCTGTCCCCTTTGTGGGTTTTTTTGTTTTTTTTTCCCCCCATCTTTTGATTGCTGTGGCCACCCACGGGCCCCTTCCGCCTTTGGCCTGTTCCTTAGAGTATTTTTTGAAACAGTTTCATCCTTTTGAATTAGATGCTGCCCAGCACTTGTTAGCCTTCTCCCATGGATCCTGCCCCCTTTGAGATTCTGCACCAAGATCTGCCCCTCGTACAGGTTCAGCTTGTCTTCCAAGGCTGCCGAGAGAGAGGGAGGGAGGGATTTCTGCAGTTGGCAGATATTCTGCATGCAGATGAACTCATTCTTGTCTGCAGCTTATCTAGGAGGGCAGGGACTCTGAGGGTCCAGCAGTGAGCGCGTTCCCGAGGGTCTGAGGGTCGAAATTTACGGCCATGCCTGGCACAAAGTAGGGAGCTCCGGTGAGCTCTGGCAGAGCCTGTGCTTTGACATGGGGGTTCAACAAGCCAGCTAAGCGGGGATCAGATGGCCAGTGCCTTGCTGCCTTCACTAATCCAGGACTGGCTAAATGCTGCTGATGAGAGATTTAAGGAATGGCAGCAGAGTGTGGATGGGAAGGGAAAATGCCACTCTCCTCCGCCACTTCATCCTTACCCCTCCACCTATACCTGAGCAAATCATTTAATTAAGGGCCTGGTGATATGTCATAACATTGAGTGAGACACAGCTGGTCAGAAATCGTATGTCAGGAGTGCTTAGCAGTGGCTCCTCATCAGATTGGAGGGAGGTCCCACAAGGTTCATTCTTGGACTTTCCAGTCCTCACTTATTAATGGCTTGGAGGAAGAAGTGGAGCTGAGTAGGCAACTGTTTTCCTTCTGGACATGGCATAGGAGAGGTGTCTGCATACACAGCTTAAAGTTGCTTGGTAAGTGAAGGAGCAGCCTCTGTCAACTTGACTCCAGGCAGTCTAGGGCATTTTTTTCTGACCTACTAGTAAACCATGGGCATAATTACCACATGCCTCTTCTTTCTTCCCAGCTTACTCTCAGCCAGCTGAGAACCACATCGGGCCATCAACTTACTTGGGGCAGTCTTTGCCACCAGCCTCGCAAGGGAGATACTCGCCCATTCCCAAGGGAATGCTGGGAGAAGACAAGATCCCCAGGTAGGAAGGATCTCTGCCTTTGCAAAGGATTCTGCAGTATGTCACTGGTTGTGGCTGATGGTGCCACTGGTGGGGAAATGCATAAGTTCATGGAAGTGGGAAAGCTTGATCTGTGTAAGATTGTCTGGCCAGAGAACAATCAACATAGGCGGACACACCAAAGAGAACAAGGAATTTGGTTGTGTGTTGGTATTAGTATGGTTTGCTGCATAGAAGAAAGGTCTTCAGTAGGCCAGCTGAAGCTTTGCAGGGTAGTTCACACTTCCAAGAATTATTTTGTAATCTTGGATTAATAAAATATTACTTCTATGGATTCTGGATTTTTTTTCCTCATGGCCAATGTGGTTCTTCCTGTTTGTTATTGTTTGAATTGAACATAAGGCACTTTGTTTGAAAAGTGGATACCAAGAGGAATCTCTTGCTAATGGTGTGGTATAAACAGAGTCCTGAACAGCAGGAGCATTTGTGGCATGTATCTCGACAGCTTTATCAAAGGTGGCTTCTTGGGAGAGCTGGCTGGAGAACCTCTTCCTTTGTTGTCCTGAAAACCACCTGGAACTTTGAGGGCAGAAGGAGAGAAGAATGACCATTCCATTTTCAGGACCATTTTTTGAAATGGGAAGGGACAGGACAGCAGAGAGATCCAGGAACCAGAGCCTTGCAAGGCAATAGCTTGGAGAGAGCTAGATGGCTTGGCAGAGTTGTCTGGAATTGGGTGGTGCCTAAATTGAATACATTTAATTAAATCAAATAAGACAATCTATACATTGGGTTCACTGGCTGAGCACTCAAGGAATCACCTGGTATCCGGAAAAGGGTTTGCTGGAATACCTGCAATAGAAGCTGTGTTGCGTGGTGGATCCAACCAAAGGACAAACTGTGGAGTTCTTGGAGTTCTCTGAGCTTGGTTCTTTGGCGTGTGATTTCTGTCATGGAGGTCTAATTCATATGTCCTTGTTGTGCCTCAGAAATAGATTATATATTCTGTTAGCTTAAGTATTAAGAGGCACGTAGCTCAGTGCTGTCTGTTAAAAAAGGAGGATTTTGGCTAGTTCTAAATTATGGATGATTCCCCTTAGTGGAAATTCTTCTTCTTGGGGCCCCTCTAGAATATTCATATAATTCACCTTGGTTGCACTGTCTCGAGATCAAAATGAAAGGCAGTTAGTCCTCAGTTACCAATGGTAATTGGGACTGGGAACTCTGTCGCTAAGCGACATGGTTGTAAGGTGCAATATCACATGACCATGCCGACTTCTGATGGTAGTTGCAGCCGTCCCAGTTGCCATCATTAGGCGAATCCTGCACGATCTCATCGTTCCACGGTTACATAATTGCCATTTGTAACCTCCTGCTGGCTTCCCCACTAACTTTGCTTGTCGAGGAAGCTGGCAATGAAGCAAATGGCAAATGGTGATAATGTGACCATGGGATGCTGCAACATTGTAATAGCAAGTCGGTTGCCAAGCACCTGAATTGCAATCATGTGACCATGGGGATGCTGTGACAGCCACAACTTTGAGGAGTGGTTGTAAGTACCCCTCGTTCAGCACCGTCGTAATTTAAAACAGTCACTGAACGAGTGGACATTAAACAAGGACTACTTGTAGATTTCATATAATTCTTGCTATTTGACCCAAAGGTCATGGTACATTATTTCTAAGAAATTGTATTATGAGGATGATAATACCTATTATTTGAGTGGAAGGTAGGATTTATATTTTGGATTTGTTGGTAGATGAAAATGACCATTTTTTATCACTCTCCCCTCTAAAGGGCAAATATTATTTGCTTAGAATGGTTCTGTGGCAGTATTTACAGCTACAGCATCTACCAATTCTCAGTTTGGAGCTGTGGTGTTTTCACTCTTGGAAGTGGCTGATCTACAAGTGATTATTAAATCCTACAACACAAACTCCCTTGTAGTTACGCTTTATAAATTTCTGTTGGTGATGAATCCATTTGATACGCAAGCTTTAATGGAATTAAGAATTACAAAAATTTCCCATTTTCCCTAGGTGTTTCCCTGGGAAAAGGCATTAGCATCAATACCAAAAATCTCAACAGAAACTACACTATACTTTATTCAACAAAAAATAATATATTTCAGACTTGAATCCATTGCATTTATAAAGAAAGAGCTTAAGTAAACTCTCATATTTATTCACTTAATCAACCTGTATGCTGCCTCAATCATAAGGGCAACCCTAGGTGACTTAGGTATTTCCAACATATTGTTGGAGATGCAGTGAGGTTAATTCTTTATGTAAATATACATTTGTAGACTGTCCTATAATTGTTCCATTTGGGAAAGAGGTTATCACCATAGTAACCTGATTTTGATTTTGAACTACAGATTATAATCATCTGTTGTTAATCTATTATGTAGGATAGACATGTAATTATGTAGGATAGATTAAGGAAATATGGATTGAAATACCTCTGTAAAACCTTTATGTATATATGTAACTCTGTATGTCCTGTATGTTTGTTTCTTTAGTTTTCTTTTGCTTTCTTTATAACTTTCTGTATTATTTTTTTCTTTCTTTCTCTTTGTATTCAATTAATGAAAGCAAAACAACAACAAAAAAATAGTATTTGGAGCATCTGCAGAATGAAAACTAATTACTTAAAACCTGTATTCTTTCCACTCGCATTTCACTTTGATTGATATGCAGGTAGTCCTCGACTTACGACCATTTGTTTAACAACCATTTGAAGTTATGATGGCGCTGAAAAAAGCGGCTTATGACCAGTCCTCACACTTATGACTGTTGCAGTGTCCCCACGGTCACGTGATCAAAATTCGGGTGCTTGGCAACCGGCATGTATTTATGATGGTTTGCAGGATCACATGATTTGGTTTGCCGGATCACATGATTTCCATTTGCAACCTTCCCAGGGGGTTTCCAATAAGCAAAGTCAATAGGGGAAGCCGGATTCACTTAACAACTACACGATTTGCTTAACGGCTGTGGTAATTCACTTAATGGCTTCAGCAAAAAAGGTCATAAAATCGGGCACAGTTCACTTAGTGACAGCATCACTTAGCAATGGAAGTTCCGGTCCCAATTATGGTCGTAAGTCAAGGACTACCTGTATTTTTTGGCAGTTTTCTTTTTCTTTATCCATAACAGTGAAAGGAACATTTTCTTGTTGAAATCTTTATTCATGTGCCTATTACATCCTTAGTTTGTTGTTTAAAAACAAATATAATTTGTGTAATGCTGCACCCCTTTTGTTATCCTGAGGCCCTGGGTCTGTAAGTGCAGCGAAGGGCTAGAATTCGTTCCTCCTTTTAGGGAGCCACGGAAGCTGGTACTCCATCGGGGATCGACAGGACTTGGCTTCAACATCGTGGGGGGAGAGGATGGAGAGGGTATTTTTGTCTCGTTCATCCTTGCGGGTGGGCCTGCCGACCTCAGTGGCGAGCTCAGGAAAGGAGACCGTATCATTTCGGTAAGACCCTGCAAAGGAGAACAGCAGGACTCTCATCTGCTTCTCTTTGGCTGCAGGAGGTCTTCTTGGCAGATGGTCCCCAGGCCGCGTGGACCTTTGCCTGGCAACCTGGGAAGGCGGGTGGGCAGGCGGGAGGCCTCTGCGATCCATCAGGATACAGCTTGGCGAGTTTCCAGTAGGCTGGATTGGGTTCTGGGCCGTACAGTTCGGTGAAGACCATGTCCTTATGTGAGTGAGAGCTTCGTTTGTATTTGCTTTTCAGGTAAATGGTGTGGACCTCAAAGCTGCGACTCACGAAGAGGCAGCTGCTGCCTTGAAAAATGCTGGTCAGTCTGTCACTATTGTAGCTCAGTATCGTCCAGAAGGCAAGTGAATGATCAAATTAAACCATCTTTCTCTTGGGGGTCATCTGCTTTAAGACCTTGGAAAGGAAGAGAGACTAAAATGCTGAGGGTGTCTGGTTGCCTGCCAGGAGGATGAGAATGATATTAATAATAAATGTATTTAATACCACAAGGCACAGTACGAAGTGTAAGAAATTGACGTAAGATGCTAGGCCAAGGTCGCCCGGGGGGCATGCTCCAGGTCCCCTCTCTGAATCAGGGCCGTCTAACGTGCTTCCCTGTGGCTGTGCTGCTCTCCCCGTGCCCCCAGCATTCAGCTGGCTGGGACCCTCTTGGCCCTATGCAGACCTGGCTCTTCTCCCATGGCTTGGGCCAGAATGTTAGATGAGCCTGTGTTATTATCCCAGCCTCAGGTACACATTTCTTATATGTTGTCTTTTGCTTTCTTACGTTGATTTTCTTTTTTTGCTTTTTTAAAATTGTGGTACCCCACCCAGAGTCACACATAGTGATTACCCAGCGTGTAACATTTTAAAATAAAATACCTAATAAAATATTATGCTTTCGTTATGGGATAGCTCTTCAGAATGGGATTCTAGCTCAGCGGGGAATGACTACACAGGTAGTCCTCGGTTAATGATGGTAATTGGGACTGGAGTTTCTGTCACTAAGCAATGTGGCTGTAAAGCATGATGTCAGGTGACTATATTGCTTAGGTATGGCAATCCCAGCACTCCTGGTTGCCGTCGTTAAGCGAGGATTGTGGGTTGTTAAGTCCCAGGTGGCTTGCAAGCAGGCCAGCAGGCGGGTAAGGCGCTGCGTGAGGCACAGCACAAGTGCAGCGGGGCCGGGGTGGCTGCTGCCGGGCGGGGGGGGGGGCAAGCGTCTTACCGGAATGACTTGCGGCCTTCCCTGCCGGCTTCCCCGTTGACTTTGCTTGTGGGAAGCCAGCAGGGGAGGCTGCAAATAGTGATCATGTGACCGTGGGACGCTGCAGTTGTCATAAGTACAAGCCAGTTGCCAAGCGCTCAGAACGCGATCACATGATTGCGGGAGTGCTGGGATGGCCGCAACTTCAGGGAATGGTCATAAATACCACTTGTTCAGCGTCATCTTAACTTCAAACAGTCTCTAAACAAGTGGTCGTTAAACAAGGACTACTTGTAGATTGAGGTCCTAAAAGTTGGGTGGAATGGTCCTACCTCCCATACCCTCTAGGCTTTTTGGTGGGACAGCTTTCCTGAATGTTGTCCTAGACCTGTAAATGAAACGAGTAAAGGCTGAGGCTCCAGATCTATGGGTGGAATGTCTGGTTGGAACTGCAAATAGTGCATTGGGAAGATCTCTTTTGCTCTTTCCACATTCTGGAGTAAATAGTGCCCTTGCGGCTCCCTTTCCCAAATTCTGTGCACTGGATTTAATTGTGCTCAAAAGTTTGGGAAAAGCTACAGTTCATTTTCTTCCCAGCTATTACAGGAAGAAAAACATTGTTTGCTTTAACAAAGTGTTCTGTGGGATCTGAGCACATAGAGAGAGCCTTCCACACGGCCACTGCCATGTCCAGCCCACATGCAACAAATTAGACCAGACTGGACTCAGAGAGGGGGTCATAAACTATGTTAGGCAGGTTACCAATAGTTGTAAGTTGAAGCTCAGACTCAGATACGTTGGCCACCTAATGGGAAGAGAGGACTCTTTGGAAAAGACCCTGATGCTGGGAAAGATGGAAGGCAGAAGGAGAAG